ATAAAGAAGTTTAAGGTATGATTCATGTAATGAAAAGCTTTCCAGAAGCATATCTATGGATAAAGTTAAGTTAATTTTCAACTATTTATTGGTGGATTCCTGCCTCAGTGGACTATAAACAACCCTGAAAGCTTTGGCCAGACCCCAGAAAAGAGTTTGGGTGAGAATGAGATTAATCTGTGAATATGCCTGAGAGTTACCCCAGGTAACTGAAGAATTAGCTAGTTTCGTGTCTTTCACCATTAGTGTTATCATCTGTGCTGTTTTTTCTCTTTATTAATTCTAAATCCTGAGAGTTAATTGCACATACAGATAAAAAAGAACTTTGGAAAAAAAATTAGCTTACATCCTTTAATATTTGATTATACTAGTCGATAATCCCAGATTCTACTGCTAATAAAATTAATAAAAGCAGTTTTCTTTTCTAAAAAAAAACACACTTCTGGTACAAATTATGTCTGAACATTCGTAAAGAGCTTTACTGACCTTAGCTAAGACCTGGCTAAATGCCCATGTTTCCTCAAAGCAGTCATTCATGAATAATTAGAACTTGGATCTGTGTGTGTGTATCTTGACACATACTGATTACGCATGTGTTCCTATGCATGTAACAATATGGACATGCAGTGTGACAAAAATAGAAACAAATGCCTGAATGTGCTTTTAAAAGACAAGCAAATGCTTTCAAAGCCTCTTTATCTTTATAATTTGATAGAATAAGTATATGTTGTTTAACCTTTTTTTTTTTTTGCCACTCCTCAGCCTTGTACTATGACTGTAAGAGAAAAAACACCCTGGAATGTTGATGGTTTCTCACATTCTCACTTTGACACATACAGTCTATTACCTCAAGGTCTCAGGCTGATTTTCCCCTTTGATAACAAGTTGTGACTCTCATTACCACCATAGTGCCCTGGTTGTCAAGGTCAAAATTAGTTGGGAACTTCATGTTTAGATAGCATCCCCATGCCTACCCTTGTGAGCTCTGCTACCAGGGGATACTTGTCAACAGCCCTGAGGCAGATATCGCAAGTGATGCTTTGTATCAATGACATGGGCCTCTTAGATTTAATGGAGAAGCTTATGCAGCTCCTACTTCATAGAGAATTTTTTAAAGCAAACAGCATTATTTTTGCTTTTAAAACACCTTTGCAGAACAAGGGAAATGGTAGTCAAACTTCTGGAAAGTACCCCAGTTTACAGGTAATGTTTGTCTGTATCTGAAAGATTTGGCCTCAGAGTCCTGCCTTCTAGATTCCAGCTCCAAAGTTGGAGGGTCCGGTGGATGTTAGTGATGCTAAAGAGGAAACCTACCCTCTTGAGGGAGCAGAGTAAAAAGGAACAGAAGCTACCAAAAGCTTCCTCCTCTGCCTTTCCTAGACTCTGATTTGCCCAGTTTCTTAGTGCATGTGAAAGATAATGCCAGCGCTGGCTAGAGGAAAAACTGATGAAGTTACTCTGTGAAATTTTCCTACCTGCTATGTACTCTTCGCTCCTTACTCATCCTCAATCTCAGTCCCATTTCCCAGACCTAAGTGTTTCAATACACTACTGGTCCAGAGGAGTTCACATTTGAAAGTACTGTATAGCTTTGAAGGTCTAGACCAAAAGGAATGCAGCTGTAATTCTAGGCAGAGTAGGTACTAGAGCAGGGGGCAGGGTGTTCCTCTCATCCTAGGGTTTTTGGAATGTGTCTCTCTTTGAATCCAGGCCAGGAAACAAAGTCCCTATAGTTTGGCTTCCCTTTTGGGTAAGAGACGAAGCTCTTCATAAATACCGGGCTGTGAGCTGGGTCTAGTACCAGGCAGGCACTCTAGCCTGTTAATCCCTGAGAGGTACCCACAGCTCAACTGGCACTCATCCCTCCCTCAACTGACTGAGCTACAGGAAGGAGGCCCAGTTATGGCATCAGCAATTGTCCCAGAAATGCAAAGGGTATAGGCATTGGCCAGAAAGGTGGGGCTTAAAAACCAAAAACCTGCACTATTTGGAATTGGGGAAGGGGTCCTTGGTGGCAAGTTCAAGGGTGGCTGGCAAAGCTTCCTCATTCTTCTCTGAGGGTACACACACACACACACACACCTAGCAAGAGAAATAAAGGAAAGATACTGTTTCCAAAAAATCCTAAGAATAAAATTGAAATTCTCTTTGATGCTTCCCCTAGAGTTCGATTCCTGGTTCCGGAAGAAAAGACAAAAAAAAAAAAAAAAAAAAAAAAAAAAAAAAAAAAAAAGATGCTTCCCCTAGAATTAAAAACATACGCAAGAAGAGTCAGGACTTGATAAAAAAGATCCAACAGTATAAGGGTGGGCATTTAAAATGCAGCAGTAGAATTCAGTAGACAAGTTTACAGCCTACTTCCACCTTTCCTTGAATTTGATTCTTTTCATCCTGAACTCATGCGCCTCACTCTTGTCAACTAACAGCTCTTAACTCCAATTCCTTTTCTCAGTCAGCTTCTAAGATTATTCAACAGTAAGGTAAGAGCTGGACTTTTATTCTATTTTCCAACAAGAGTCAGGGTCAAATAATTTCATAAAACATTATACTGCTTTTAAAAATGATGGCCAAAAAATGTAATTCAAATTTTACTGTATGATTAATTCTAATTCTGCTATATACATTCTTATTTTCTTAACATATTTGACTCAGTCCTAAAGCCTTGTTTAAATTTTTTCCAGCAAATAAATACCATTGTAAAAAAGCATTTGCTATTTTCAGCAATCTCTTGAAGGGTGTTTTGCCTTCCAAAGTTATTTGGTCTACATGGGCCAATATAAAATGCTCAACATTGTTTCCTCAGGGTGCTGACACCTCAAGGTATTAATCTTCTTTTTACCCTTATTGTCAACGGATGGTTTACTTTTAATCAAAGGTCAGTTGGTCCCTCTTAAGACCACAGTGGAAACAGGTTACAAAGTCTTCCCTCCTGAAACTAGATGCTAACTACCTAAAATAGGGGCCATGATGCTAGTTATCAAATCAACAGTCTTGGCCTGCTCTCTAAAAGTGGTTGTAAAGTGGAACCCAGTAAATTAAGATAGGAGATGTGATTGAAAAACACAGACAGTGTTTAAAAATTTCACAGAAAAAAGGTGCTTTGCACTAATCCCCCTCAAAATACTTCCCCTCACTTCAAACACATTTATCCCATTATCCTTGCCACATTCTGAAGCAATTCTGAAAGTCTTCTTGCGTGAGTGTCTTCTGTTGCGCTGTCACAGCTGCCTTGATGTTCTGAGTCAATTCAAAACATTTACCGTTCATGGTCATTTTGACTTTGGGGAAGAGCCAGAGGTGGCATGGTGCCAGATCCGGTGAATAAGGTGGACGAGGACGCACGGTAATGTTTTTATGAGCCTGCTTGTTCATTGAACGGCACTTGGCAGCAGCATTCACCTTACTGTTGATCACACCTCATAAAGACACAAAGAAGACTTCCAGAACTGCTTCTGAAAGTGACAAGAATGGTAGAATATGTGTGTTTGAAGAAAGGGGGAGTAATTTGAGGGAGATCAGTAGCAATGTGTCTTTTTCCACAATGCATGTTTTTAATTTAAACATTCTCTATATATTTTGATCACTCATTGTAGATGTCAAATTCAGGAAGCTGGCCCATCTCATTACTATGAAGTGGTCATCCAGGTTTGAGGCTAGGACTTCAAAATAAGGCTATAAATACCAGCCTGGGCACAAGGGAAGATGTGTGCTCAGTTTATTGTACACACAAGATAACAGTGACTCACTTCACTCACATTACACTTGGCTGGAGATTTTAAATTCCTTTTTAAAAACAAGACTATTGTGCCACAGGGTAAAGATTTTATTAACCTTAATAATGGGATTGAATATGCCAAGGCATGGAAGCAGAAAATTAGATCTGTTGATCCCAGTGCCAAGACAGGAGTTATCAAATGCCACACTAAGTTATTTTGGTGGGCTTTCCAATGTTACAAAGGCCTGAAAATGCAGAAAGGCACAGCAAGGAAGTGTCTGGCTCCAACCAGGAGAAGCAGCAGATGACCCACTAAATCTCCCAAGAAGCAGAACTGTGTCAGAACATGGATACTTACTATACTTCTCCTGGTCCAGTATCACTGGAATACTAACCAATGAGGCAAAAGCATTAAGCAGTTAAAGGAAGAGGCGACTATCCTGGCTCTCTCCTACATAGGCCACTGCCAAATAGTGTGGAGAAGCCAGCAGAGTCACTGCCTGTTTGATCCGTCATCTATAAACAACCAAAATTGGTCAGCCAAATCCTAAAGACAAAATGCAAGTCATGCAGATTCAACCTGAATTCAAGTTTTTAACAATAACAGAGAGTTCATGAGTCTTGCTCTCTGTGTACATCCTTCCCTCTTTCCTCTTCACTCAAATGTGTTCCTATTTATTTTGCTTTCCCATTTCTCAGATTTATTTCTTCCTGCCCTGATTCTTAGAGGAGAAAAAAAAGGCTATGATTTAGTTTTATCTCAAGACTCAAACTAAATATAGTACCTCTTCTCACCAAAGCCCTCCACTTGGGCAGTTTTTAAAGAATTGATAGGATGTTGACTCAGAACCCTCTGCCCTGCTGTTCTCTGTATTGACCCCCAGCCAGATGTGAGGAGATTGCAAGCAAAATGATGATTGCCCAGGCATCTTCCCTGGAGTATTCCACCAACCAAACAGTGCCCCAGATCCTATTGTATTGATGCATATAATTCTCAATAGACACAGGCACAAGTTTACATGGCTTTCTATAGGCAGAAGCTTTCTTAAGCCAGAAGGGAACATGAAGATCCGAGCTCCTCTAGCTGCCCTATCACTATTAACACTTAGTGTTCACTGAAACGCAGATCTATCTCCCCAAAGGAGAAATCACTGGCATTAACAAACCTCTCACCACCAGGCCTCGTCATTCTCACAATCCAGTAGCCCCCATGATCAAGTTGATTCTCCTCTTCAAAAAGATTGGTTCTTTAAACTTTTCCTCTGGTTTTTTTCTGCTCCCTCAGGTCATGGATTATATGGGACTTTTGAAATGTTATCCTCCTGGAGGAAAACTAGAGAAGACCAACATGTTAAAGAGCGAACTGCAGCGGTCTATGCAGACTCCATGCTCTCCTTTTCTCTCACCACTGCCATGTACCTGGTCACCTTCGGCATAGGGGCCAGCCCTTTCACGAACATTGAGGCAGCCAGGATTTTCTGCTGCAATTCCTGTATTGCAATTTTCTTCAACTACCTCTATGTACTCTCGTTTTATGGTTCCAGCCTTGTGTTCACTGGCTACATAGAAAACAATTACCAGCATAGTATCTTCTGTAGAAAAGTCCCAAAGCCTGAGGTACTGCAGGAGAAACCGGCATGGTATAGGTTTCTCCTGACCGCCAGATTCAGTGAGGACACAACTGAAGGCGAGGAAGTGAACACTTACGAGAGTCACCTATTGGTATGTTTCCTCAAGCGTTATTACTGTGACTGGATAACAAACACCTATGTCAAGCCTTTTGTAGTCCTCTTTTACCTTATTTATATTTCCTTTGCCTTAATGGGCTATCTGCAGGTCAGTGAAGGGTCAGACCTTAGTAACATCGTAGCAACTGCGACACAAACCATTGAGTACACTACTGCCCAGCAAAAGTACTTTAGCAACTACAGTCCTGTGATTGGGTTTTACATATACGAGTCCATAGAATACTGGAACACTAGTGTCCAAGAAGATGTTCTGGAATACACCAAGGGGTTTGTGCGAATATCTTGGTTCGAGAGCTATTTAAATTACCTTCGGAAACTCAATGTAACCACTGGCTTGCCTAAGAAAAATTTCACAGACATGTTGAGGAATTCCTTTTTGAAAGCACCCCAATTTTCACATTTTCAAGAGGACATAATCTTCTCCAAAAAGTACAATGATGAGGTTGATGTAGTGGCCTCCAGAATGTTTCTGGTGGCCAAGACCATGGAAACGAATAGAGAAGAACTCTATGACCTCTTGGAGACACTGAGAAGACTTTCAGTCACCTCCAAGGTGAAGTTCATTGTCTTCAATCCGTCTTTTGTGTACATGGATCGATATGCCTCCTCTCTGGGAGCCCCCCTGCACAACTCCTGCATCAGTGCTTTGTTTCTGCTCTTCTTTTCAGCATTCCTGGTGGCAGATTCTCTGATTAATGTCTGGATCACTCTAACAGTTGTATCCGTGGAGTTTGGAGTGATAGGTTTCATGACATTATGGAAAGTAGAACTGGACTGCATTTCTGTGCTATGCTTAATTTATGGAATTAACTATACAATTGACAATTGTGCTCCACTGTTATCCACATTTGTTCTGGGCAAGGATTTCACAAGAACTAAATGGGTTAAAAATGCCCTGGAAGTGCATGGGGTAGCTATTTTACAGAGTTACCTCTGCTATATTGTTGGTTTGATTCCTCTTGCAGCTGTGCCTTCAAATCTGACCTGTACACTGTTCAGGTGCTTGTTTTTAATAGCATTTGTCACCTTCTTTCACTGCTTTGCCATTTTACCTGTGATACTGACTTTCCTGCCACCCTCTAAGAAAAAAAGGAAAGAGAAGAAAAATCCTGAAAACCGGGAAGAAATTGAGTGTGTAGAAATGGTGGATATTGATAGTACCCGAGTGGTTGACCAAATTACAACAGTGTGACGGTGTCTGCTTGGTATATTTTCACCCTAGGTCTTACCAAGAGCAAAGAGATTATGTTACTGAAACAGCTAAATTCAAGGTTGTTCCCTTTTTAAAGGATAAAAAGGTATTACAAAAAGTAAAGGAGAAGGGGGTAATTGGCATGGAATATTTTCAATCTTTAAAACAAAAGAGTTGTTGAAGAATTCACACACACACACACACACACACACACACACACACGCACACACACACGCATGCACCCTTAGGAGACTTATAGTCTCTTAAGCTAAGATCAAATAGAAGAAAGCTTATTAACAGGCAGGATCCCATTTTATCCACACTGCAGATGTTGCTGGTATTGTGATAAAAGCAACTGATTGAAAGGTCAGCTGCCAAGGCAGAAATAGCTTTAAGCATTATTCAAACAACAAGGCTTTCAAAACTTCCCCAGAGCAGCAACTGTAGTCAGTGTCTGTGGTTTGAGGGCTTGGCTGTCTCACCTAACTACCCAACACCTAGGGAGATGTTTGTGAAAATTCTGACCAGCAAAAGCAAGCCAAAACTTCAGAAGCAGACAGAGTGGCCATCACCCATGAAGTGAAATAGAATAACCCAAAATTCACCTGGGTGAGGCATTTTCATTGTCTAAAATGAATTTATCATGTTCCCCATTGATATACTTTTAACATTTGTGTAGTTCAGTTAATACACCTAAAAATCAATGCCAGCTTGAGCATTACAGAATTGGGGCAATTCTATTTTGGAATATCTTGTCACTTATCACCAAATGGGCCTGCTTTATTAGTTACAGCTCTTGGCAGGATGCTCTAGGGACATAAAACCACAGTGCCAACCCCAAATACCTGGCGTGATAGAGAAAAGCAGGTGTCCACTTGAACCTAGGGACAGTGTCTCCATTTTAACAGCAACAACAACAAAAGCCAGCTGGTACAGCTGTTTGTGGTTTGGCCCTACACGCATTTTTGCATGGATGCCCAGAAACAACATCTGCCCATATGTAGATGAGGATGGGGAGAGAAGCACTGCGATAGTTATTTGCCATACATGCCAACTTGTAGTACCAGTGTGCTTTTGTTATGGGACATGACTTCTCAGGAATTGAAGAAGGGAAAAAAGATCTTTACTGAGTCTAAGTCCTGACACTGAGAAACTTTATGAAAGGGCAAGGAGATAAAGAGCCAAAAAAGAAAAAAGATGGAAATTACCAGGGAAAATAGTCACCAATGCAGATCTATTAACAACAGCAGTCAAACTTTCCTGCTAAATTGGCTATCCCTCGCCTTCTTTATCCCCCAAGACACCTTTTTGATGTCATTCTACTTTACTACAAGGCCCTTCTGTACATTAACAAGCCTGGATATTTATATGTTGACTTGCAAAATCAACAGGGGAAATTGTTCATAGGTCTAAACACAAATGTTTTGTTCTGAAGAGAATTAGTATATTGCCACAGACCCCTGCATTTCTTTAAATCTATAGAAATGAAACTAAAACCTGGTGATAGTTGAGGCAAACATCTACAGTATTTCCCTCTTGTAGAGATGTGGCTTCTTTAGACATCAATAGCGGTAAGCATGTCCCAAAAGCATCTTACCTTTTGGCGCTTAGCAGAGGTACTGTGTGACTTCCCCATCATCTTCCTCAGAGGAAACCAACACCTAGAGGAATAAAGTGACACACCCAGGTCACACCACTAGAGAAATCTCATCATTTTAGCATGTCTATGACAGGGCATGTCGATATTAGGTTTTCTCCTAAGACAGATTACCCCCCTTGAAATACATTTCTAAGACAGGAACCTAGGGCTTTATTGCCACTGGGCAGACACTTTTTAAATGTTTGGGATAAAAATGTTTGGGATTTCAGTTTACCATTGTCGTTCTAAGTAGCAAAAAAAAACCCAAATGATTCAGATGTAACCACAGCAAGTACAAACCTGTGCTTTCTATTTCATGTACTGTTGTCCACACAGCTCTAAATACATGTGCAGGGGGTCATAGCTAGTGCATTACACACTTGTTCAGTCTCCCTTGCAGACACACTAAGTGATCATACTAACGTGTTACACACTCAACAAGAAGATAATGAGCTTTAATCCAAGGACAAGTATAGTCCTCACAAAAGGGCGAGTTTGCATAATAGACCTTCAATCAATTCTCTCTCCTAGGGGCTTGCAACTAGGTTATTATTTATAAAACACAACTGAAGAGGGGATTGGTTTTATTCTTAAATCATATGTTGCTAAATCATTTTCTGAACAGTGTGTTCTAAATCAGCCATTGATTTAGTGTCAGCCACATGGAGCACCTCAGCTTAAAATGACTCCACAAAACTGACATAACACACACACCAATTAAATGGATTTTGTTGAGAATTTAATCATTCAATTTGGTCAACCAGAAAGACTTACTATGGAACTTTGTTTTATGACAGATAGTAGTTTTCCAAGTTGATTGGGTCTCTGTATACCCTGCGATATTGTATTTTTAAATGAAGGGCATTTTCAAACTTGTCAACTTCTCTTTTCAGGACTTGAAATCAAGGCTTATGAATATTCTGACTCTGAAATGAATTTTTCTATTGGGGGACTATGCATGCCAAGATTTATTATTTATTGTTAGATAAATATTATTTGTTAATGTTGATTATTGCTCTGACAGCATTGGTTTATCCCTACCATGGAGAAGACACTTTAGAAGTATCTCAGAATCACATCTCCATAAAATTTAAGTCATTCTGTCGTGAAGTTTTCCTTTTTGAATTGCTACAAAGAGGGAAAGATTCCAGCAAACACTTGAAGTTTTTTATTTGTTTGTTCGTTTTTGTTTTTGTTTTGTCTTTTAAGTCCAACCAAGACATTAGTGTTGGGGCCAGGGATATAGCTCATCAGCGCAGTTCTTGCCTGGCAAGCGTGAGGTCCTGAGTTTGATTCCCAGTACCAAAAAAAAAAAAAAAAAAAAAAAGACATTAGTGTCCACTTTACCAAAGAAACTTATTTGGTTGGTTTGGATTTAGTGTTTGTTGTTTGTTTACCAAAGACATTTCCACTCATCAAAACTGTTTCTCCTGGTCAACTCAAAAACTGTGATACATGGAGTCTCTTGGCCTTCATAAGGAAAATAAGAAAAGCCAAGGTAAGGATGATGACATTCTTTCAATGAGTAAAAGTTAGCAGAAGATGTCAATTCACAAGGAGCTTGGGATTTTCAAGAAATAAAATGATACTTGAAATAGGGCATGATTGTTTAGTCCTACGGTAATGTTCCAGCAAGAAGCATCAGGGGTTATCAGGCTACAGGAAGTATAATTGGTTCCACAGAAAATATAAGACAAACCTTCATGAAAATCCCTATGCATTGTTCCAGCTTATGAGTTGTGTTTTGATTTGGGGTTGTTTCCTTTCTGAGCTTTGTACTGTTTTTGTTTTAATTTGTGATGCATGTTCGTTTTATTTCTGCCTTTCCTAGCACTTTTACCCCCTCAATTTTCAGTTAGAAGTCAGATAATCAGATGCCATCCTCCATGGTCACAGTTACTTATACAATATATTACTCAAAAGAAGCCCCTTGAGAATCATTTTATTTTGAAATAAACACCACCCAATTCTAAGTGGCATTCTGTGATGATGATACTACTTTCCCTCCCGCCCCAGCAACAGAGCTTAGCTGTGTCCTTCACAACAGCAGGTACAACGGAGAGCTGCTTTGGGTTGTGGCAAGAGGCAGCACCTCTTGGCCACAAGTGATATCTTCCTCATAAACAATTTATTCTTTTGGATCCTATTAAAGTGTCCCTGCAGCTTGTGGTAGTGTTTGACCTCTGTGAATCTGTTTTGTCATCTATAAAATGGGCATAATAACAGTAAATATCTTTCAATTCAGCAAATATGTATCGAGTGCCTAATATTACCCATATACTGTTACAGAGACTGGAGACACAAAAGTTCACAAATCAGATAAAAAATAATCTGCCCTCTTAGAGTCTGCTTTTGAGTGATGTGGCAAGTTTGATGTGAGAATTAAGTGACATGACATTTGGAAAGCAAGGATTGGCAAAGAGTAGGAACTCAAGACATTATTGTTAACTTGTCAGTCTCACACAGTAGCACTGGGCCCAGGATCTAAAGCTCCAGAGAAGTAGATGTGGCACAAGATTAGGCCTATATAAACGTGTGGTGGATTGCCACAGAAGGTAGTTAAATACTGGTCCTTTTAGGACATTGAAAATTTGGCTGGATCACCACTTAGTGGAACAATGGTAAAGAAGGTATAAGGCCTGAATGTTGTGATTGAGCTGTGACCTTGAACACGGGATACAGGCACTTGGGGTGGGGGTGGGGAAGGACAGTGCTGATCATTTTAACTATGCCTGGCTTGTCTGAAGTCATTTGAACATTCCCTTTGGGTAATTTGCTTTTAAGTTTGTGCTAAATAAAAAGCACCCATTATCTGAAGATAAAGCTCCTATTTTTTAAAAAAAAAATGGTAAAGATGTAATACAAAGGAAAATGTTAAATGAGCACTATACTGAATTGACTGGCAAAGAACTGAGAATGGTTACAGCCAGCATATTACAGAGTTCCTCCCTGTGGTGGTTACAACTGTTTATTTCTGTTTCATGCCAATCCAGGAAAAAACAAAGAGGAAAGTGAATGAGCTGGAATCTGTTCACCTGAAAAGACAGTGTCAGGATGTCCTCCCCAGCCCATCTCGCATCTGTCCCCTCTCACCCTGTGCAGGTGATCTGTTTGAAGTCCTCCTTGATACCTCTGAGAGTGCCAAACAAGGAAAAGGAAGTGAGATGACCAGAGAACTCTGGCCTATGTGCAGACTTCCAAATTAGGTCAAAATTAGCACCACGAGGTTTGGAGAAGCCTACCTGGTGGGGAAAGAAGGCTTCTTTTCAAAGTACAAAGAAAGCAACGTGTACTAAGGAGGCAATCCACAGAGGAACCTTGGTGGAAGGGAGTGACGTTCCCATGGAATGTGCCAGCTTCTTCTCCCTCCCTAATGTTGACACCAGATGCATCTTTGGATAGAAGTAATCCTACCCCCTCATTTTTCATGTGAGAAATCTAAAATCTGGAGAAGTGAAATTCTATCCACCGAGCTGGTTAGAAGCAGATAGAGAACTGTAAATGAAGTCTAGTATCTAGCCTCAGTTCTTTCTCCATTCTGCCACTTTACTGCCAAATTCTGTGTGTCTAAAATTTGAGGTCTTAACCTGGGGGTTGTGAATGAGTTGCTAGAGGGAGGAACTCTGAGCTCCCTAAAAGTAAACCGAATGCAAAAATGTGTGTGTATGTTCAATATGTGCATTTTCCTAAATAGAGGGTTCATAGCTGTCATAAGATTCTGAAAGAGGTCTGTGACCTAAAAAGAGTGAAGAACGATTGTCCTAATAAAGACCTCATTGGGAGTGTGATCCTGGTGTCGTCGTTTTAGCTAATGAGCGATCAAGAACTTCTCAACCATCTTTTCTGTAAGGAGCCAAAAATTTCTTCCAAATACTGATTTCTTCATGCCAAACCCAGTGCCTATTTCTGTTCATAAATTCTTCATTCATTCTTCACCCATTCGTTTATTCTGAAAACACATTTCCAGTTCTAATTTATTTCCAGCAGCAGCTAAATATCATCTGCATGGCAGGACCATGAAAGAACCACTCTGCATTGTGCCCTTGTTGACAGAAGAAATACTGGGTTGCTACCACATTGGCATTATTGCAGCAAAATCTATACAGCCTCAAAATTACAGTGACCTCCTTACACACATACACAGAGAGTGGGGGCCAACATATAGAGGTGTGCCCTGTCAAAGAAAGAGGAAAAGAGAAACCTATGTCCAGGTTATATAGCAGCAGCATGCCACATCCTTGGAAGGGCTGCTCCCAAGTGAACCCTATTTTGAAATGTGTACCAGGCACACTTGAACACATTTGTAGTGACTGACTCCCCAAAAAACACAGGAGAATAAGTCTCATTCATCTTGATAATATTAGTAGTGGGCAAATAAACCTTGGCTATAAACAGGGGTTCATTTAAAGAAGGGGTGTGTCTTGGACACAGATATGCACAATAGAAGGCTAATTCTCTTAACTACTGGTCAGAAGATGTAGAATAGGTTGATGGAAGAGGCGGGAGAATAAAAGAGTCTACCTGTTAGCTTTGCTTCTAGTATAACTTTAGGCACAGTGGAATCTGCCAGGGTTGACTACAGGCAAACCTGAGAGAATCCCTGCTTGGCCTTCCCTGAAACACAAAGGACTCATCCGTGCCACTTGCATCACCCTCTGCCCAGTCATCAGAGAGACTTCTTTTCAGATGGAGGAACATTAGTCCTACACTGTAGCATCTGTTGTGAGGTTTAAAGGCTATTCATTAAAATCTACAGGGCTTTGTGTAATTCCTAGAAAATGGCAAAATAACCAATTTACATTTCCTATGTCGGCATCATTCTTGGGAAAACCCAAAAAATTCTCTTTCAAAACAGTGTCCTTGATTCTCCAGGATGACCTCTGAACTTGTTTGGATCAGCCTTTCACACATTTATTTTTTTAAGTTAGCATCCTGTAAAAATTGCCTTTGTCTGCTATCCCAGAATCACCAAGACAGTTGTCAAGATGCCTCCAAGGATTATGGATGACTGGGCAAAACTGGCACACCCACTGACTCTGTTTGTGCGACATACACAAACACACACAATGCATACACGAGTGTACACACAGATATAGATATGCAGACATATATGTATGTATACACATAAGCATACCACCATTTACGATATGTCTGATATGTGTGAGGCAGTTTAAAGTATCATAGCAAGTCCAGTTCTGTAGATTTGTGAAGTTTACCTGCAAGTCATCCTCCCACCCAAAAAATTTCTGTTCTATGTTTCTTGGGTGTAAACACATCTGAGAGCAGCCAAAGAATACTCTTTAAAGGACAGAAACCTGGAAAAATAAACACACTTTGCAATTTATAAATTGCTAACTAATCATTTCATAGTGAAAAAATTACACTTGATGTGCTTTTCCAAGTCATTTTAAGACTAGCAAGGATGCAGAACCACAGAGATATCTCGCAACACGCAGACTTGTGGAAATTTACCCAGGCACAGTAGCACATGCCTTAAATCCCAGCTACTCTGGAGACAGGCAGGAGGACTGCAAATTTGATCACAATTTAGCAACACTCTGTCTCAAAATTTAAAACGCCTGGGGTTGTAGCTCAGAGACAGAGTGCTTGCCTAGTGCAAGGTCCTAGGTTCAGTCCTCATGGCTGAAAACAGTAGAACTGTGGGAATTTATCTAGAATCTTTGCTAGGTGAGCCAGAGTGGGGGAAAGGAGAAGGCAGGAAGGATGAAGGGCTTGTAAGGTGATTATTCCATCTTGCCAATTCTCAGTAAGAAATGAGCGTTTTCCATTTATCCCTACTGTATCATTTTCCTGGGAAAATCAATACATTTCATTCAACTCAAGGAAAGCAGATGGCATCCAAGGATGCCTGGTGATAGGAAACATCAGTGAAGAAGAAACTCATGTAAGCAACAGAGGAACTATCCAAAACCAAAAACTTAACACACACAGAGGTGCAAAAGTGGACATTAAGAGGAGCCCTAGTGCAGTACATAGAAATTTTGGGAAAGAATGTCAGGAAAATAGTAATCATGAGTATACTAAAACCAAAGAGATTTGTTAAAAATTGTTGAATATATAAGCTGAGAATAGTGGAGTTCTTAAGGATGACTCTGGAATAAAGATATAAAGCCTTCATCTGTACTCTTTCAACTAAACTGAAAGGACCATATATTTTCTTTTGAATTATTTATTAATCCATAATTTCTCCTTAGTAACTTGATCAGAATACACTCAGTTTCTCTCCCTATTGTTTATGATCCTAAAATTCACTCACTCAATCTTTGCTGTGGATTTTCACTCCAGCTGAACACCCATAAGCAGAATTATTTAGTGCCTGGTCAAAACAAAAAAATTTCTGCTTGGCTTTAGTAATTCCTTGGTCTCATTAATTAAATGTAAAAATACTTCAAACCTGAGAAATATGTGTCTATTTAGTCAATGCGCTTAGTTTTTTAACATCAAAGAAAGCCTCTGCCAATAATTATTAACAAAATAGTCAATTTTGTAAAATCTTAAACTATTTCTATAGTGGTACAATTTTAATGGATAAAAAATTCAGTAAGGAAAAGTCTATGCCCAGTATTTAGTAATGCTGGAGAAGATCCTCACTTAGATATAAAGTAGTTTAAATATTAAAATGTGTCATTTCTCTTATTATCCTCACTAATGAAGAAGTTCTTGAAAGTGCATATTATTTTATAAAGTTTTGGGCTAAATCAAATAAATTTTTCAGTTGTATCCATGGCAAAAGACCATAACACCACATTTTGTTAATCAGAGTAGCCACTAAACCAGTATCTCACCAACTACTTTCCCAAAACATCCCATAGTTATGTATATTTCTTAATATTTTATTTACATTTCTTCACACTAGGCAGATAACTGATACTGGTAATAATAAATTAGTTTTAAACTAAGAAAAATATCCAAATGCTGGAGCACATAACTAGTTTAGCTTGGTCAGTTTTGAGATAGATAAGCATAAAACCTTATCGGGGAAACAGTGCAGTTCCACCCTGACCTGGATGAAGTGTGAGTCACATCATTTTTATCCATGGTAGGAGCACCTGCTCAGATGGAGCTTAACCAAAAACTTACCCAGAAAAATTTCTCACAAAGTTAAAACACTTTGTAGGAAGAAGTATCAATAAACCTTCCTTGGTGCCCCTCTACTACGTCATGACAAGGGTATTCTGTACATTAACAAACCTAGATGTTTATATTAGTGGTTCATGGGCTTGCCTTGTTTACATTTCTCTCATTGCTGAGACAAAATACCTGATGTCCAAAATTAAGGAAGGAAAGGTTAATTTAGCTTACAGTTTGTGGAGGTTTCAGGCAATACTCAGCTGGCTCCAAGGCAGAAAGGCACATGGCAGAGGGCAACAGTTCATGGCCACCGAAAACAGCAAAAGCAGCAAGGGCAAAAGGGAGGAGCAGCGGCAAGCAGCCTCTTTCCCTCCCTTATATTATATGCAACCTATTCACCCCAGGACAGATGTAGGGTGCAGCATTCACACCCATAATCCCAGCATTGGACCATGAAACAATCACAACTGTAGAAGCCCTCCCAAAGACTGCATGAGGCTTTGGGGGAACATCCAGGCACAAACCATAACAGGGTTTAAACAGAAACAGTAGATCTAAAGAGTCGATATATGGTTTTGTCAGAACCCTGCCATTTCTTTGAATTTATAAAAATGAAGCTTAAACCCTGGTTATATTTGAGGTATATATTGATAACATTTGTCCATTTTAGAGATGTTTAACAAAAAACCATGTATTTGCCTTGGTTACTTTTCTCACATTGCTGGGACAAAATATCTGATGCCCAAAACGAAGGAAGGAAAAGTTTATTTAGTTTACAGTCTGTGGAGGTTTCAATCCATACTTGGCTGGCTCCGAGGCAGAGTGGCACATAGCAGAGGTCAACTGTTCATGGCCATGGAAAACAGCAAGAACAAAAAGGGAGGAGCAGTGACAAGCAGCCTCTTTCCCTCCCTTATATGGTATGCAAACTACCCACCCCAAGGCAGGTGTAGCACTCTCATCCATAATCCCAGCATTGGACCACAAATCAATCATAAACTCTAGAAGCCCACTTCATAACTGCATGAGGCTTTGGAGGGGTACATCCAGACATAAACCATAACACTCCACCCCTGACCCCCCAAAGACACATGCACATCCCTTTATGCAAAGGCATTTAGTCGATTGGCAAGAGTTGCCAAAGTCCTAACAGTTTCAGCATTGCTGAAAAGTCCAAGTACCAAGTTTCCTACAAGTTCTAAGGCAAACTCTTAACTGTGAGCCCTTTTGAAAATGAAAAGTTAAACACTTCCAACATTCAACGGCACAAGATAAACGATACCATTCCAAAAGATACAAACAGAAGGATACAAAGCATTGGGACCAAAGCACATCCAAAATCCAGCAGGGCTAACATGTCCTGTAGTTCCATGTGGAACATCTGAAGCAATCTGTGATAAATTGTGAGCTCCAAAGGCCTTACATGGCTACACCCCTATGGCACTTCTGGTGGTTACAGCTCCCACGGCTTCTCTCTTAGGCCCACTTTGCTCCCTCCTTGCAGCTTTTCACAGACAATTCATGTTCCTGGCTTTTCCCAACTTCTGATGTCCCCACTGAATCTCTCACTTCACACTCACAGCTTCACATGCTGCCCTCTCGGGGGCACATTGCCTGACCTCCCAGAACTTCTGAAATCTAGGTGGAAGCCTTTTTAACCTCAGAACTCTTGCATTATGCCTGCACCTAAAATCAA